CCCCCCCCAAGACTCGCAAAAGCACATTTAATATTCTAGTGATCTGCACGCTTCTGCACCGCAGATTTATTTCACCAACTATTTTAGAAAAACGAAAGAAAATACTACGCACCAAACGCACGTGCGATATTTTTATTTATTTATTTATTTATTTTTATTTTTTTTTTTAAAGAGAATCTCATTTAGCGCAGTTATCTGGGATTTTTATTTCTTAAAATTTTACCTCACACCCAGCCAGAGAAAAAAAACACAACAAAGCAACAACGCTGGAGCCAGTGGCGTAGCTAGGGTTAAAGTCACCCGGTGCGGTCTGCAACCCCCCACACGCGCGCAACCCACCCTCCCTTAGCTACGCCACTGGCAGGAGCAAAGTAGTAAAGTTAATATTAAAATTTTTAAAAAGGATTTAACAAGAAGCCCAAAGGAAAGTTCTACCCAATAGAAAGCCCCCCTCCGATGAATTGGAAACGACAGGTTGGAAAAGTAATTAATAAATGTTTAAATGGAAAGAGGAAAAAAAAAAGAAAAGGCGTAGCTCATAGAAAGTAATATTGGTTTAGCTCCGGGTCACATTGCGGAGCTCATAGAAAGTAATATTGTTCTAGCTCCGGGTCACATTGCGGAGCTCATAGAACGTAATATTGTTCTAGCTCCGGGTCACATTGCGGAGCTCATAGAAAGTAATATTGTTCTAGCTCCGGGTCACATTGCGGAGCTCATAGAACGTAATATTGTTCTAGCTCCGGGTCACATTGCGGAGCTCATAGAAAGTAATATTGTTCTAGCTCCGGGTCACATTGCGGAGCTCATAGAACGTAATATTGTTCTAGCTCCGGGTCACATTGCGGAGCTCATAGAAAGTAATCTTTGTTTTAGCTCCTGGTCACATTAACAAGACTTTTTCTTTCTTTTAGTTGGCTTTAAAATATGGAAAACGTTCAGAGAATTAGTATTAAATCTGCCTGTTTTTTTTTTTACTTAAATTTGGGGGGTTAGAGAATTGTTAATAAAACGTTCATTATGTTTTTTTGCATTACTTTGTGCTTTTCTTTTAAATTATTCTTTTTTTTAATTTTTTTTTTTTTTTTAGTAAATCTCCGACTTTCTCATCTAATTTATTTTGTTGAGGACATGATCTTATAAATCAGCGGTTCTCAACCTGTTGGGCGCGACCCCTTTGGGGGGTCGCCCGGCCCTTTCACAGGGGTCGCTTATGACCATCTGAAAACACATATACTGCACATTTGTAAAATATTAACGAAAATAATTGTGTGGTTGGGGGTCGCCACAAAATGAGGAAATGTATTAAAGGGTCGCGGCATTAGAAAGTTGAGAATAACCACTGTTATAAAAAATAAAATGAATTAAAGCAAGCGGTTTATTGGCGGTTCAGCACATCCCTGCTTATGGTACAAAGTAAGCTAAGATCACAGAGTTGTGTAAACTAACAAAATATTCACAGCACCCACGTCGACTAGATTACCCCGACAAATTACTCTGAGAGATTTCTCTGAGAGATTACTCTGAGAGATTTCTCTGATAGATTACTCTGAGAGATTACACTGACAGATTATACTGACAGATTGCACTGGGAGATTACACTGAGAGATTACACTGAGAGATTATACTGACAGATTGCACTGGGAGATTACACTGAGAGATTACACTGAGAGATGACACTGAGAGACTACACTGAGATTACACTGAGAGATTTCACTAAGAGATTACACCGACAGATTACACTAAGAGATTACACTGATAGATTAGACTTAGAGATTAAACGGGGAGATTACACTTACAGGTTACACTGAGATTAAACTGAGAGATTAAACCGAGAGATAACACTGGCAGATTACATTTACTAATTACACTGAGAGATTAAACTGAGAGATTACACTGACAGATTACACTGACGGATTATACTGGCAGATTACACTGGGAGATTACACTGAGAGAGACTAAATAATCCCTACATTTTCATCCCTTTCTCCACAATAGATTTACAAAAGTAAAGCTATACAATATCCAATCAACGGTCGTTGCCGGATGGAAAGTAAGACACAGAACACTTCAACAACACAACATCCAACAATTTGGCTCTAACTTCTATATTTAAAAAAAAAAAAAAATTATCTGTTTGTGCTTAACTCGCAGCGCATCTCAAATTGGGGTCCAATAACTCCTTGTGAATTTTTAGAATTTTCTCCGGGCTATTTTTATGTCCACTGGTTTGTCCCAGAATTTGCAGCCTTTGGCCTCGACCTTGGCCCACTTGAAGTCCGTGTCGGCGATGCGCGGCACCGCGCCCTGGTCGGCGACCAATCCGGTCAGATAGACGTCTTCGAGGAATCGAAAACTGACGTAGAGAGACTCGAGGTAGAGTCTCGTCATGGCGTACGCGGTTCCGGAGAGATAATTGGCGAAGGGTTTTCTCCAGGTACTCGTCCCCTGGTGACGGTCTACTTGTTTTATCTTGTCGTGGGACGGGGCCGCGTTGTGGTGAGGGTGGCCCCCAGCAAGATCAGCGGGTCGTTGGAGAACTGCTGGCGAAATCGGGCGATAAGGCGGGACATGTTGACGTAAATATCATCGTCCGCTGTCAGTATGAAGGTCGACTCCGGACAGTGCATGCTGACCCACTTGACCAGCGCGACGGTCTTCAAGCTCAGGTTCCTGTAGGTGTCCTCGTTGTCTTCCTGCCCGACGTACCCGCACTTCAGCGCCTCGGCGTCGATCTGCACCTGGCCGGCCCTGTCGTTCTGCGCACCTAGAAAGAACAGGAACACCGCTTAAGTTTTTTTTCGGATCGATAGCGTACTGGGCCCAGGATTCACGGATGGCCTGACGAGCCTCAATGCTCTTCGGGTGTGTCGGGACCCCAACGATGAGCTCCACTTTCCTATCAGCACAAGCGTTGCGCACTTGTGGGTGTATCTAATCATTGTGCCAGTTGACTCATCTCCGACAGCGCTGGGTCATTTTTGGAATGAAACATATCCAAGATGGCCACCAAACTCGGACTGGCGTCTCTTTTGTGGAATCAGGCTTGTTGCCACAGTACGTGATCACATGGAATTTCCAGTGCAGTGGACGAAATCTCTTTGCGTTTTTAAATATGAGATCTTGAACGTTTCTTCCAAGAACAAACACTGGCGTCGGCAGAATTTTCGATGTGGTCTGATTCACGGGGAATCTTACGTCCCTGGTTGTTTTGTTGTTTTTTTTTTTTTTTTTGTGGTTTTGGGCGCGTGAATAGCCACATGAGGAAGAACAGCAAACATCCTGTGAACACAAAGGAAACCAGGGTGCAACAGCGCGAGAGTATCTTGAAAATCTCCAGGTTTAAGTAACCTAACTAAACAAGATATTGAACGTTTCTTCCAAGAACAAACACTGGCGTCGGCAGAATTTTCGATGTGGTCTGATTCACGGGGAATCTTACGTCCCTGGTTGTTTTGTTGTTTTTTTTTTTTTTTTTTGTGGTTTTGGGCGCGTGAATAGCCACATGAGGAAGAACAGCAAACATCCTGTGAACACGATGGAAACCAGGGTGCATCAGCGCGAGAGTATCTTGAAGATCTCCAGGTTTAAGTAACCTAACTAAACATGATAAAAATATAACTCTTATTGAACGTAGCGTTTTGTTAATTCTATTGTCAGTTAAGATTGAACATAAAAGTAAGTGGTAAACATTAACTATTAGCACACACAAATGTATCCCAATTAATGCAAACAGCAATCTAACTTTATACATTCAAAGTATATACTTTTTTTTTTTTAAGTTAATAAATTCTAATGAAAGACAATATTGTACAAATAGTTTAACAATTGCAACTTTACCCACGATATACTCATTATTACATAAGATTCTGGAAGCGTATGCATTATTAATAGTTTTTTAGTCATTCTTTTTTACGGATGTTGGAGAAAAACATGTAAATTGGCTTAATAGGATACATTCGGAGAGTTGAGTTATGTGACGGATTGTGAACAAATTTAGATCACCAATTAAACA